TTACTGATATACTAATAATGCTAGTAAATACCTGTATACAGTGCCATCCAATGACGGAAAGTATCAAATACGGCCAATATAAAGACTTAATATCATAGTTCGCTGAAGGGAGAGGTGTCACTAACCTTACTGTCTCTCGTGTCTTGAACTTTGGCTAGGTCGGAGGTCAACAGGGGGAATAAGGAACTGTAGGTAGGTACAACAAACAGGCTGGGACAGAGGGGTGCTGCAAACAGTGGGACGTGGACAACTTCTGCTTCTGCAATCTGCAAAACAAAACAAGAACAGGAGCGCATGAGTAAATAAACGGGTTCTGAACACGGGCAAACTGACGAAAAAAAAATTGCCATGTCCAACATTGCCTTTTTCATGCTGCCCACAAATAAGACACAAACTACCCCCTCCAAGGAGATGCCGAAGTCAGCTTACCGGTCCGCCCATCCATTTCCTCAGCTTGTTCTCAAACTGGACAAAGAGGGCACTCTCCGTGGTGCTGTCACTGTGCCCCTCTCCAAGGAGGTGAGAGTGCAGTGAGTGGGGCATGGCTGTTACAGCAATGCAATACTGGAAGTCGCTAGCCTGAACGATATCCTGAGAGTCAAATCAACAAATAAATAAATCTGGAATTTCAGAGGATTTTTTTTTTTGCTGCGAAAAGGTTGTACTGCTTATCATAAGTACAAAAACTGATGATCTCACTGTAAAAAAATATCTGTGCATTTGCAAGAAACAATTCCCCAAAGGTGCCCTGAAGTGTATGTTTATGTGGACATTTCAACTTTCAATCTCTTTAATTTCTCGTCAGTAAAAAAAGAAAAATTGTCCACAACGAGGCGATGGGCAAGTTAGAATTTATGTTGGAATATGAGCAGTAACTTGATATAATGGATAAACTGATTTGCCGTGGGTTTGTCATAAACGTCACGTTATTTAATTTTTGCCACAAACTGAAGAAAAAGAATGTGGCATCAAGTTGCAAAGTAGGAATTTCAGAAAAGGCAAAGCTTGACAATTTTCTACTTTGATAAGAAATCTACAGTATAATGACAA